ACACACACACACACAGACACACACACACATACACAGACACAGACACACACACACAGACACACACACACACACCCCACGTCTGTTCATGGTTTTGCAGCTTTGCCCCAGTGCTTATTAGGTTTGGTTACTTCCTAGTAAACTGAGGCAGAAAGGTATTTATAATTTTCCTCTGCTATAATTCCTATGTTTTGAGTGGTGACTAGACCTTATGAGGGGAAGTAGATGTACAGCTGCCCTTTGCTGACTCTTAGTCAGTTGCTGGCAGCTTAGCTGTTTGTGACAGGTGAGTATGTGACATTTTTTCAGGAATGAATTCTTGTTGCAGCTGGCAGAATAGAATCATTGATACAGACTTGCATGGCAGTTTGCCCCATAATCCTGCTCCCTGTTGCTCGGCTGTAGCTGTGATTGCTAGGTCTCCCCTCTCTCCCGGTGTATAGTCACATCTCGAGACGGCTGCGTCCGCTTCTCCGTGATCACACGGTGTGTTTGTGTGCTGCCCTGGGCTGTCAGCAGAACACTCGGCTGAATTCCCCTTTTTGTCATTGCCCTGTGGCCTTCCTTCCGCGCCCTTTCTCAGCTGTGTGAAGTCGGTCAGCCTCTTTTTTGGCTGTCCATTTCCGGAGAGAGTGGTCACTGCATAGAGGAGCTTGAAATACGAAGAGGACAGATTACAATGAGTGGTTAGACAGTGGGTAGGAGGAGCTGAGACCCAGTGCCTGATGGACAGGCAGTTTAGCTCTGATGGTCTCCTCCCCTCCACCTTTACACACCTCTACATCTGATCCACCAGTGGCCCCCAGACCATACTCACTGCTACTTGCATGAGCCAAGGCAGAAAGGTTCTATTTTCGTACCGTCCTCTCTGTCCCTGAAGTAGGGAAGTGAGATGGGGGAGAGTCCTGTGTAAACACCAGCTGTGGACTAGAGACTGGTGAAGCTGGTAGAGGTCCGCTTAATATGCACAAGACCCTGGCTTCGATCCCCAGCACCATACAAACCAGACAGGTGGCACGTGCTTTTAATCCTGGAATTTGGGAGGTGGAGGCAGGAGGATTAAAAGTTCAGGTCGCCGGGCAGTGTTGGCGCGCTCCTTTAATCCCAGCACTCGGAGGCAGAGCCAGGCGGATCTCTGTGAGTTCGAGGCCAGCCTGGTCTACAGAGCGAGATCCAGGAAAGGCGCAAAGCTACACAGAGAAACCCTGTCTTGAAAAACCAAAAAAAGAAAAAGTTCAGGGTCATCCTCAACCCTATCTCCCCAGTGCTGAGATTGCAAGAGCTGGTTGCCCCACCTAGCTTTTTATGGGGGGGGGGGCGGCACACGGATGGACGACAACGGACTCAGAGCCTCGTGCTTGCACTTTGTGACTAAGCTGTCTCCCCAGCCCTTGATTAGGACACTTTGATCCATGTATGTAATGTATTTGATCATATTCACCCCCCTGTACCCTTTCTTATTTCTCTCCACTTGAATTGATTGCCTTCCTATTTCTCATTAGTCCTCCTACTACTTCAATGTCTTACTTTTTTTTAATGAAGCATGATGTTGAATTCCTTTAATCCTAGCACTGAGAATGTAGAGGCAGTAGGGTCTCTGTGAGTTTGAGGCCAGCCTGGTCTACGTAGTGAGTTTCAGGCCAGCCAGGACTATGTAGAGAGAAACCCTGTCTTGAAAAAAAAAGTGTTTTTTTTTTACATTTATTAATTTTGGGTGGGTGAGTGGGTTGGGGCCTGTGCGTGCCGTGGCACGCACGTGAGAGTGTCTGAGGGTTTAGCCTGCAGCTCAGATAGTACATGTGCAGGTCCAGTTCCAGTTCTGTGAGTTCAAGAGTGTACTGGACAGGTTATTCCTGGGAGTCAGCATGCCGCACCACTTCCTGCTTCCTCTAGAAGCATTCTTTCTTTTTTCCTTTTTTACATTTTGTTTTTTGGGACAGGGTTTCTCTGTGTGACAGCTCTGGCTGTCCTGGAACTTGATCTGCAGACCAGGTTTGCCTTGAACTCACAGAAATCTGCCTGCCTCTGCTTCCTGAGTGCTGGGCTTAAAGGTGTGTTCCCTGATCCTTGATGTGTGTGATTTAAATGTTTAAGTGATGGAAGAAATCTGGTCTCTGCGAATGATAGGATGAGGGAACTTATTCATAATATGTATTTATTTAATTAAAACTGATTTAGGGCCGGGCATAGTAGTGTACAACTTGAATTCAAGCACTCGGGACAGGCAGGTGGACGTCTGTGAGTTCAGGCCAGCCTGGGCTACAGAGTGGGTTCTAGGTCAGCCAAGGCTTCCTAGTGAGACCCTGTATCAAAAAACAAAAGAAGCCTGGCGGTGGGTGGCACACACCTTTAATCCCAGTTCGAGGCCAGCCTGGTCTACAGAGTGAGTTCCACGACAGGCACCAAAGCTATACAGAGAAACCCTGTCTCAAAAAAACAAAAACAAACAAACAAACAAACAAACAAACAAAAAACCCCCAAAACCCAAACAAACAACAACAACAACAAAATCCCAAAAAGGTAGCCAGCCTGGGCTACCAAGTGAGCTCCAGGAAAGGCGCAAAGCTACACAGAGAAACCAAAAAAAAAAAAAAAAAAAAGTTAGGAAAGTAAATGAACTTTGTAACTGAAAATAATTTTGGCATCCAAGTGGCTCTTAAGGAATTGGGCCAAAATGAGGCTATGAGAAATGCTCTATGGTTAAAACTTTTTTGCAATTAAAAACTAAAAAAAAAAATAAATGATTAAAAGAAGTGAGAGAAATAAATGTTTATTTTTTTCAGAGCTGAGAATATAGCTTCCATTCTAAGCTTTTTTTTTTTTTTTTTTTAGTGTACACTACAGCTAAACTAACCAGACAAAGTAAAAAGAAAATTTTTATTTTATTTTATTTTTTTAAATTTTTCGAGACAGGGTTTCTCTGGGTAGCTTTGCTGGAACTCACTTGGTAGCCCAGACTGACCTGGAACTCACAGAGATCCCCCTGGCTCTGCCTCAGTGCTGGGATTAAAGGCGTGCGCCACCACCACCTGGCCAAAGTAAAATTTTATTTCTAATTTTCAGTCATCATTAGATTAAAAACTGGGATCCAGGTTTCTAACTCACAATTTAATGCATTATCTTTTGGGATACCAGGTAGATCCTATCTCCTGAAAATAAAGTCTAATTTTGGTTACTTATGGGGAAATTTTCTAGAAGAAATTGATTTTGAAGAAGATGATCCCTCAATTTTAGTTTTGAAAGCAGAGCTATGACCAAAGCTTGCAGAGTAATAAAGGTAAAGGTGAAAGGTGGACCGGTCCCCAAAGATTATAGAAAGTTTTGGGATTACCAGAGATGGGCTTTGGATTTACAGAGTGCTCAGGAATAGGATTGTGAAGTTTAGAAGTTGTTTCCTAGGTCATGTCTCAGCCAAGTTAAAACAGGAAGCTTCTTTACGCTGACCGCATATAGGCCAGAGGCCATTCCTTTATCAAGCTGGAAATTTCTTAGTGTTCGCTCACAAGCTCTCTGGCTTGGTTTTTGTAGTCATGTTTTCTCCGTCCTGCCGCCTCTTTTGGACATTGTTTCAGTGACCTAACCTGACTTGTCAGTAATGCCTTGTGTTTGCAAAGAGCGGTTCTATTTGTCAGTTCAGCCCCACCCTGGTTTCAACAGGAAGTGGGTGTGTGCTCAAGCCTTTGAGACGGCTTTCTTCCTTGTCCTTGCAGGATAGTGAGGACTGCAGTATTCAACAGTTGTGCTTTTAAGAGTGTGTGTGTGTGTGTGTGTGTGTGTGTGTGTGTGTGTGTGTGTGTATGTATGTGTGCATGCAGTTACAGAATCACCTCATGTGGGTCCTGGGACTCAAACTTGGGTCTTTTGGAAGAGCAGCGAATGCTCTTAACCACCAAGCCATCTCTCCAGCCCACTGTGATACTTTAGATGTTTTATTGTACCAGCTTGTACTGTGGTAAGACTGTTGTCTACCAGTTAGATGATGGTTTGATTTTTCAATGAACATTGGTTTTTGGAGGGGAAGGTATTGAGGTGGGTATTGATCCAAGGTCTTAGGTAGTCAAGGATAGCCTTGACTTCTTACCTCCACCTTCCGAGTGCTGAGAGTACAGGCCTGTGCCCACACTCAGCTGATAAAACATATCGAATCTGATTGAACAGATTTAAACCTTTTAAACAAGGAAATTTGCCTTTTGCAAGAGGAAACTACAACATAAACGTCTTGTTTGTCCCCTTGCAAAGCACTGTTAACTATGGACAGTGGGAAAAGTTGAAGTGAAAGCAGAAGTCCTAACTGCCTCGACACAGCATCCCCACAGGTTCCTGTCCCCTCTGCTGTGATCAGTACTAAGGGCTGTTTCGAAGAGGAACTGCCTTGAGAAGCCTTTTCCTGGTGGTTCCTATGGTTGTGCTTCATAACAGTAGGAGTCTGTAGGTGCTGTCAGTGACCTTGGCTCACTCTCAAATGCAGCATTGTTTGTTTATCATAACAGCTCAAAATGACTCGCACTGCCGTTAGGGCAGTCGGTAATTAGCAGGGGTTCAGAGTATGGACTACAGATTGTTGCTTCCTCTTCCTCTCACACGAACATTCCTCCACCCCGACCTCTGCATCTCCCCACAACCACCCAGTGATGTTGAAAACAGAATTGTGGAAGTTCAGAGAGCAGAGCTGGACTTTTCCCTGACCAAATGTGATATGTAAATATTCCATGCTAATCTCTAGTGTGCACCCTTGAAGAGTCTCTTCGTTTGAGGGAGACCTGGAAGACCCTCTCATCCAGCTTCACTTTCAAAATATAAATCCCATCATGGTGTCAGTGTCCAGACTGCTTGGTACACTGCCAATCCTGGCTAGGGAGGGAGGGATTTGTGAGATTTTTTTATTTATGTTTGGACTTAGTCCTCTAAACTGAAAACTGCTAGGGGTAAATATGAGGATAGCTTCTAGATCTGTCCTGGATATTTGGAATTGGTCCAGAGCTACCTTTTTCTTTTGAACTTCTTCAGGTATTATATTATTCCCTCAGATTGGTCTGGGTCCCTCCTAGAGTATCAATAACTTAACCCCAGTATTCTCTCTGGAATATTTTTTGGGTCAGTTGTGTATTTCGTGGATTCTGCTAACTGACAACATCTCGACTCATCTTACCTTGTGTGTAGAACACGTGACTGTTGACCGGGTAAGGGGGTTGTAACAGCTTAGAAGCAAATGCAGAAGTCTTAGAAGTCAGAGACTGTGAGGAGCAGGCGTTGGCTGAGACAGAGTCTTGCTGTATAGCCCTGGCAGGCCTAGTACAGCTTGCTACGTTTGCCCAGGTTGGCAAACTTGAGCTCTCAGTGATCTTTGCTGCCTCAGTCTCCCCCGGAAACAAGTGTGTACATGTCTGGCCTTGACAATTTCTTAAAGACCATTTAGCTTAGTTCTTTTATTTTGTAGTTGAGGAGGAGACTGAAACCTACAGAATTACAGCTTTCTTTGGGGGAAGGGGGTTGTTTGGTGTTGTTCGTGGTAGTGGTGATTAGATCTAGGGCCTTAGGTACATGCTAGGCAAGTGCTTTAACACTTTACCACTGGGGGCTGGAGATGGCTCAGTGGTTAAGGGCATTGCCTGCTCTTCCAGAGGTCTGAATTCAATTCCCAGCAACCACATG